ATTGACATTACAGATAAAACAAATATTTGATTGATAAGCGGAAAAATGAGAAGTGCGGATTACGTAAAACTCATCGATGACGAAATAAGGACACATGTTATACGGTTAAGTAGTGTACAATCCGTGTTTCAACTGAATAATCTAGCCGTGCATGCTGCCAAAATAGTAAAAAATTATTTTCATGCAAATTGAATCAAAATTCTACAATGGCCGACAAGGTCGCCGGATTTAAATATTATTGAAAATTTACGGGGCTATTTAACCCGTTATACATATATTATAATTATACATACAATAATTATACATAATTGTATAATAATTATACATATATCAAGGTGGGAAGCAATTTCATTCTCCGGAAGAGCTAAAAATTGAAATTGAGGATGGTTGAAAGTTCATTCCAAGAAAGTTCATAAAAAAGTTGTATAAAAGTTTACCTAGGAGATTATTGGAAGTCGTAGAAAAAAGAGGAAAACGTACACACTTCTGAAGTTCAAATGAAACACCGTTTTTCGATTTAATTTTCATTTTTCATCAACGTGTTCTACCATTTTGTCGCACAATGTCATAAACATTTTATGATAAGGAATAAACTGCATCACAAAAAAGATTGCAAGACCGCTTTAACGCGTTTAACTGTTGTCGCTCGCGTTGATCGTCGATTTAGTGAATTGTGCATGTATTATATTTCGCTGCACTTCGCACATGCATGTTTAATCCTTTCGGATGTAAACGCAAAAACGCCGCATCAAATATTTCTGTATACGCTGCACGGATCTTAATTCCATATAATTCAATGATTCGGGCGAAACTGAGAATTTCTGGACGAAAGCGTAATGGGCGCTTTAATAAGATTATCGGTCTCTCTCACCTTAAGCATCAATTTTACATATTCGTGTTGCATACTGTACGTTGGGTTAAGTTATGCACGATGAGAAATTATTCGATGAAATTTTTCACATTCGCTCACACACGATTTTGTGTATCCAATTTCAATAATCGTGCTCTAATAATTTTTATATTATATAAAGTGATTACATACAAGGCGTACACCTGTATTTTTCGGACAGTCGAGTTTTTTGTAGGGAGCCATAGCATTTCGGGGAAGGAATTATTTGGTACTTCGGACTTTGTATTTTTTTCACGTACTAAGGTGTGGTTTAGAGGGCAGCCTACGGGCTGCTAGCGTGTAACGTGAAAACGTTTTCGAAGATTGCTGCGGTTAGACGAATTGGAGGGTATTATGTGGTATTTACCGCGCGACGGCATTTTTGCGGGACGATAATTAAAGGTTCTTTAAGACCCGTGGCGATGCTCCGAGGCGATCATTGGCCTGTATGGCGATGATTGCACTTTGACATAGAAAGGAATTTCTCCTTGCCGATGTAAGATCGTACCCTGAATGTCAGGCTGCAAGTTCATCTCTGTGAGAAAATGATGCGCGTCGACTAAAATTCTATTCTAATCTAGGGTTTGCAGAATGTGTCCAAGTTAAACATTCAATTCGAGGAAAACTATAATAGCAATAAACTGCAGGCGATCGATTAGCAAAGTATCCAAATTAATTGAAATAAGGCTGTATAAGCCTTGCTGAAAATGAAATGAATCGAGTAGCAACGTACACAAATTAGACGAAATAAGACCGTGTAAGCTATGTAAATAATGTAACTATATTAATATTGTGACAATGGAAATCATTGGAAAGAAGTGCTAATTACCGTTATTTGAAAATTCTACAACAAACATAGTTTATTTCCCCATCCATATATAGAAATTATACAAAAGCAATGATTTTACGTTACTTAATATGCTCTTTATTTCCTAGATTTGATAGTGATTTAATTTTTCTTGTAGATGCTCAGTGGCCACAATCAAACGGGTACTTTTTGCCGTGATGGTACATACAGCTAAGTACACAATGTGTATAAAATAATAACACCGCGTACGCGTTTTACACTAAGCAATAATGGTGTACAACGATTTATATGTAGTTCCAGGGATGCCCAGTTTTTCGTGACGCTATTATAGTAACGAAGACGATTATTGATCGTAACAAGTCCCAGAATTTTTTGCGTTATTACCTGCAAATTATGCGTAATTCTGGCAGAAAGTGATGCGAGCAAGAATCAAATAAGAACCTTGGAAGATAAATTGGCTGGTGAACCAGAAACCTGAATATCTCCGGAACCGGTTAGCTTCCGAACATACGTTGGAATATTTCTGTACCTTTTAATGAGGTCTTTCAACCTGGTACTTTGTTTAGTCATCTCATTTGCCATACTTATATAGAAACCTATTACGCTCATTTTTATTCGTTCACGCTCGCTTCTAAATAATCAATGCATAATCAGAGCACAATCTGCGACTAGAAATAAAACCGCGAAGCTCCCTTACGGCCTTGTACTTTTTCCTTTATACATATATATATCAATTCTATAGTATAGTATATATATATATATATACTATATATACTATATATACTATATATACTATAGAATTTGGTGCTCCCAAAGTGATTGAAAATAATTATATATATATATATATATATAATTATTTTCAATCACTTTGGGAGCACCAAATTCTATAGTATATATTCTTTACGATGCAGAAAAAAACTAAATGTTTAATTTAAATAATTCTCCTTCGAATTTCTACGCGAGGAGATACTTTGGACATTTTTGTCAAACAAATCGAAACGTATCTTCACGAAACTATGCACACATATTTTCCACATACTCGAACTCTGTTTATAAATTTTTCTATACCGTTACATTCAAAATTATAGTAATCGCTGGATGGCTAACCTTGGCATAACCTTCGTGCAAATTCTCTCGTTTTCATTAATCACTTTCTAACTATCTGAAGGAGGCAAAAATGTTCTTACGTCGAGTAAAAAGTTCCTTAACGGCGAACATAGAATAATAATGCAATTGATTTGCATCAGCATGGAAGTTCCCTTGCATTTTGCAGGCTTGCAGGTATCATAAATGCATAAAGATCCGCAGTCCAGTAATCACCGAGGAAGGAATCCGGTAAAATCCTCTCGCGAGATTCGCACCGCCAATAAAGTCATCTTAAATCGAAAACCTAAGATAGGTTTCAATTTTACTATGATTGAAATTAGATAAATTACTTTATTGGGCCTTCGTGAAAAAATGGCTGATCACTGCGGGATCCAATATCCAATAAACAGCGTGACTCATACCGCCGGCGATGCCTATTTACCGTTTCATTTCCATCGCTCGGGACCGACCGCCGGGGCTTATGGTTGCATTCTCTCATGATCATTGACACTCACTTGGTTCCCTCGCGTCACGGTGGACACCTACCGCGAATAATGACGCTCGTCCGGATACGGTGTCACACTCTTCGATTCGCCTGAAGCGGACACGTCTACGAACGGTGTAATCGTTAGAACGGTACCAGTACTTTTTCCGACGTCCGGGCGATCTCCGCCCGGCGGCGATCCAACGTCCGATTTCATCAGCAACAAACAAGACACCGAGTCTGGTACCGACGAACTCGTAAAACGAACGTGTGTAAATCATTTATTATTCATCATTGAGTGGGTTGGGATCGTAATGGCGTAGGTAACATTATCGAAAATTTTGACTTACTACTGTGATCAAAAAGTAAGGTGAATTTGTTTATAAAATGTAAATTCTTTATTTATTCTTCCAAATCAATTTCATCCCCTTCGAAGTAATCCCCGTCCGATAAAACGCACTGTTTCCGACGCTTTTTCCAGTCCTCGAAACAGTCGGAATAGTCTTTTTCCGGTATAGTCTTCAAGACCTTCTTCGATTCGGAATTTATCTCCTCAATCGTGTCAAAACGGCGTCTCCGCATTGGCTTTTTGAGTTTGCTGAATAACCAGAAGTCGCACGGAGCCAAATCAGGCGAATACGGTGGTTGCGGAACAATATGAGTCGAGTTTTTGGCAAAAAAGTCGCGAAGAACCAATGCAGTATGACATGGCACCAATCGAGACTTGACGCGTTTGAGACACAAAACATCCTTCAAAATGGTTTGGACTGAGCCAAATGATATTCCAACACTATCAGCGAGGTCTCTCATTGTCAGTCGACGATTTTCAAGCACCAAATCTTCGATTTTTTTGGACGTGGCCCTCGTCGGTAGACGTTGATGGTCGTCCAGAGCGCGGTTCGTCTTCAACGCGT